GCTTACCTCCCATATTTCAACCATCCATCGTTTCCTTGTTGTGTACCTTGGCATCAAAAAATCACTACGACTGAAGCTTTTCCATTACTAGATGGTGGGTGAACCTGTTACTGATTACTGCGATCGTTCTTCTGTTCCCCTTCTCAGTTTTTGTCGAAATTACCACTTATTATCACAGTTTTTTCCCCAAACAAAACTCTAAAGAGGGAATTCTGCACCCGGAATACCTGAAACAATGGTTATTCGTAATCGCAGACTACGAATAACGCAGTTTCAGGTATTCCAGATACGGAATTACAGAAATGTTGCCAGCTGTACTGGTGGTGAGAAGAAACACAACTGTTTAAGGTATGAGCAACTTCTGGCAACAAGCGGGCCTGATTTAGTACTTACTTAAGCTCGCAGATAATCTTTTTATAAAACCCAAGTAATACCGCACCAGGCTTTCCCGCACAGTCATGCGTTTTTGCGTTAAACTTGACGCAGCAAGAACGTTAGCAGTATGAATGGTTGTTGCTTTAAAGTTACACGCAATTCATGTGCCCCTGTTTTGGTCTTTTCTTGAATGCGGCGGAAAAGGTGTCGCACAGAAATGCTCTAGAAATTACACGTTTTGCATTTGCATAAGGTGCAAAAACGCATAAAAGCAAAGAATTTTCTATCAGGTTATTTATTCAATAAAAGGAAAAAATAAACAAGAACAGGTTATTGTGAGTTCTGAGCTTGAACTTTTGACACGATTGTTAAAAAATGAATTTATGTCACTGACACGGAGTCTCAAAGTATTTTCCATATTTTCGCCTATTACATTTTTTAGTTTTATTTATTTTCATGAGAGTGCAGAGGCGTGGCGATTCCGCCAATCCCTGTTTGTCTTGTTAGGCATCACATTCCGATTCCCTTCGCGGGCCGCCGATTGCCCATCCGTAGTTTTAGTGAAAGTGTAACACGAACTGCATATGAAATTTTATTTTTTTTGTTTGTTTTCCTGAACCAAACTATTACTTAAAGTTTCACACAGTAGTACTCCATCCTTTAATTCTCAACTGAATATCTCCA